GAGTGCGGCATATAGCTCGACATGCCGTTCCACAAGAGCGTGTCTCGGCTAGAAGGATACCAGGGCGCAACGTACTCCGCACCTTTCCACCGGGCCCGCAGTGATCCAGAAGCAGCGTCCCGGAGTGTCACCTCGCCATTTTCCCCTTCGGACGCCGTAAGAATCACCGCGTCGTCTGGTGAGAATGCTACGTAGTGCATGTGTTCTGAGAGTAAGGACAGAGGCTTGTGTGCCCAGTCCCATGTGTCGGTCTTGTACACCTCCATGGAATCGTTGTCGCGTATCAGCAGCGCGCGACTTCTGTCCTGAGAGAAGACGGTCAAGCGACAGTCCACTGGCTCCTTGCTAGACAGAGTGGATGACTTGACAGTATTCTCGTGCCGCGGCATGTTGACTGCGTCCTGCGTCGCGTTCCACAGTCAGACGGTGCCATCGTACGAGCAAGACGCGATGCGAGTCCCGTCTCGGTCATAGGCGACACAGTTGACATTGTCGGTGTGACCGGTGAACAATTGTAGAGTCTCGCCATGAGCAAGGTCTAAGACGACGATAGATTTTCCTGATCCACATGCAAACTTGTCTCCGGCTGGGAAAAAGCTGGGACTGCGGGTGGACAGGGATAGCCGGAGGTTATAGAGGTGCTCGACGGTCTTGACATCCCAGACGGACACCTTCCCTGCCTCCGATGGGGCAATCAGAACTTTGGAGCTGTCTGGTGTGAAGGCGACGGAATAGAATAAGTTCTCGCGTTTCCGCTTCAGCAAGACGCGATGATTGTACGGCGCTTCCATGCTCCACAGGCAGACTAAGTCGTCTGCACCCGACGCCATCCAAAGGCCATCCGGAGACACGGCAACGGATTTGATCGAGTCTTGGTGCTCGGTCAAAGTTGCCACACACGATCCAGCATCCCAGATCTTGACGGAATTGTCACCAGAGCCAGACACGATGCGCCTCCCGTCGGGTGTGAAGACTGCGCACCGGACCCAACGCGTATGCCCTTCGAGGGTGCGAAGAAGCATGCCGGACACGGCGTCCCAGATCTTGGCTGTGCAGTCATCGGCAGCGGAGGCAATGCGGGCACCGTCCGGAGAATACTTGACAGAGCTGACTGGGCCGGAATGGCCGGGGAGGACGAGAACCAGGGTGCATGTAAGCGCGTCCCAAATCCGTATCTTGCTGTCCTCGCCCAAAGAGACGATCGTCCTGCCATCAGGGGCAAAGTCGATGGCCCGGACCCGTTCGCCTTCGTGTGCGATGACTGTGCCCAAGCAAGTGTCCCACGAGTCTGCCACGCCCCCGACAACTTTGACCGAGCTCTCCGCGAGACATTCGTGTGCGTAGATCTGCCCAAGCGTCGTGTCCTTTGGAACGAGTGACAGGATCAAATAGTACAACTGCAGTGCTGAACCACTGATTGCAGGAAAGTAGCCGACAATCAGCCGCTCGCAGTTGTTCAACAGGAGCACAGTCCTCCTGGCTCGCCCATCATCCACGTCCTACTTGACAGTTTAGACACTGCAGCACTTGGAAATCCCGAGAGTTGATCACACTCACCCTAAGCTTCCGCTGCGACTCGCTCAGCCCAGAGATTGCATCTCTGAGAACTCCAAGTAGGCTGCATGCCTCGACCCAGTGCACCAGGTCCTTCTGTGAAAATTCCAACAGCCCATCCAGGATCTCGTCCGAGACCTCGCCGCCCACCAAATGAGTGTACCAGTGCCGACACGGATATCTCAAGTGTGGCGGAATCGCCTTCTCCACACGCATAGCTAGGCCATCGACCTCGATGTTGAGCACAGACGGGTCCCGGATGTCACAAATGTCTCGCTTGAGTTCCTTCAGCGCCTTTAAACATCCACGGAGCAGCAGTGTGTGTTGCGCCCGCGAATTGATGACGAATGACCGGCTCGTGCAGCGATCCGAGTCGAGCAGGAATTCGGCAAAGGTCGGATGGATGATGCGGATGTTGGACTCAGACTCCTCAGAGGATGGAACGACGAGGACGGAGTGCAGTCCTAGAAGGGAGGCGTATGCCGTATCAGAAGCGAGGTCGGTTAGACGCGCGAGGCTGGCAATGGGGAGGGGATCTTGGGCCACGACGATCGAGCCGAGCACTGACTTGATACGTCCTGACAGGCCCTTCGAGACGTCAGGAAATGCGGTGTCGAGCACTTGAAGATACAGCTCGTCGAGCAGCCGATGAGATCCGAGGGAAATCGCGGCCGATGTAAGCATCTTGAGTTGTCCCACGGGGTCGTTGTAGTTCCGGTCTCCAATGAACTTGACCGCAGTTGCAGCAAAGATGAACAGCCCATTGGCCATCTTGCTCAGCGTCTCGATGTCCGCCTTCTCAGGCCACGACTCTGGCAGCTTGAATCGCCTTCTAATATCAGATAGGGTTGCGGTAAAGTAGCGAGTGATGTCCACGGTGACAAGCGGTAATGAGATCTCATGCAGAACCAGCTTCCCAAACGCATTGCGATAGTCGGGAGTGTCGAAGCTGCCGACAATGTGCTGCTCGGGGCGACTAGTGATGAAGAATCGGAGGGGGGAGAGATCTTCCGCGTGCTTCAGGAGAGTAGACAGCACCGCAGACGTAACTTGGGAGTCTCGACATTCGTCAAGCGCATCGATCACTACGACGCATGGTGGAAAGCTATCGCGGAGCTGGGTCAGCGGCTGCAATATCAGCTCCTCGAATTGGCGAGTGACGCTGGAGTATACAATCAGAGGGTCCTTCTGGAGTACCTGTGCGACCAGGTCCCTGTGAGGCCGGTGGAATAGTCCGAGCTGGTACGCGATTGTCGTGAATATCATCAAGGGATTACTGCAGTCGGTATCGGACCGAGAGCAGAAGAAGCTTGCGCCAAGAATGCCTTGTTCTTGACATTGCTCTGCGATGGTGTACGCAATCGTCGTCTTGCCAGAGCCGGCCTGGCCGTTCAGCCATGAAATATTGGGTTCATCGTGACTGGAGTCTGGAGCAGGACTGGGATTGTTACTATGCATGTGCTGACTTGATGCCCAGGTGGAGATTCCATCCAAGATGTCGGTATGCGTCTCTTCCAGACAGGCTGTACGTTCCGGGCCACAGTCGAATCGCGCCGACACAGCGTAAAGTGGTACCAATATACCTAGATTCGAGTGATCAAAACAGCAGATACTGCGCACCATCGCTATACATACCTTCTGGGCAGGGAAGCAGTTGGAGGCGCTGGCAGACGCAACAATTGATCAGTGAATCGTGTATTCGCTGGGAGATACTTACCCGAACACTGTCCTGTACGTCATCCAGCTTCTTCTTCGATTGCCGTGCATTCTCTTTGATCATACGTGCTTGATCCTGTTCATCTGTAGTTGGTGCAAGAGTAGACAATTGAAGACTATCTATCATGTACATCCAGAGCGAACTCGATTGCCAACGTGCCTTCCACCTGAAGTTGGAAATTAGCTGCATCAGCAGATGAGAGCGCAAGCCAGAGCACGGACAGTTCTTACCATGAAGCTCTGAATCGACCACGACAACCTCTGTACGAAACTAGTGATCTTCTTTGCCTTTTCGTCCGCATTCCATATCCTCAGCAGCTTACTCTGCGACTTGAGTTCAACGGCATCGTCATTCGTCGCCTTCCATGAACTGTACGGCGTAAGCAGCCCAAATTAGTGGTATGAACATAAAACTCACGACAGTAGTCGATCAACTCTGGCCTGCATCGGGAGTGATATGCTCGATCCGTGCAGCTCCACACAATCCTTCACCATTTTGGTCAAATCTTCAACCTTCCTCGTGAGTTTATCGATGTCTTCACTATTCCCATGCAATTTCTGGCCCCAGCTTGAGCGCCTCTGTCCAGCGAGGCCGTGCATGACACGCACCTGGATCATCGCCAACACCGTCGACAGACCAGTAATACCAGTCTGCAGACCTGGCACGCCGAGATTGCCTGCTACTTGGTTGAATGCATCGAGGGCGCGTTGCAGACCGTCGATGGCGGTATATGCAGCATCTTTTTTGTCGATGCCTCATAGCTTCTGCTTGAACCTGCGTGCGGTTCCTTTCATAGGTGGAGGTGGAGGTGACAGAGGTCAAAGAGAGGCCTCGAAATTTTCAGTCCGGCTGTGAAGATGGGCGAATAACCACAAGTTTGCCACGCCCTCACCGCGCTCTCGCCAGGAAGGTTTGATGAAAGAGAGTTGCCGCAGGGAATAATGAACATGAGATATTTGAGTCTCGGTTGTGTCACAGGAAGATACGACAGTGATCGCTACACTGGTATATACCTCGCAAGTTGGCTTGTGAAGATCGCGCAACTTGTGGCGTGTAGCGAGGGCCCGGGGCCGTGAGTCGTGAGTCGGCATCAAGTGGCAAAGCCATGGTTGTACTCATGTATTCTGAGCACAGACAGCTATGATTTCGTAGCATCACATAGGACATACTTTCGCTGTGGTTGTATGGCTGGGAGTGGAAGGGGTCGAGGTTGAATCGAAAATTAACATTGTGCGATGCAAGTAAGTGTCCTGTGCTACAACGGAGCTTTCCCGATTTGGCTCTAGTTGACTTCGCGTACGCGCTGGATGAAGTTGCCCATGCCGAACGTGTAGCATCTACCGTGGTACGCCGTCAAAACACATGCACATGTTTGGCACAGGTCTGCCACGACAGAGATTATGGACTCGGAGGAGTCGGCAGTGCCAGTAAGAAAGATGCTGGTTTAGTGGTTCGCCTCGTCGAGCCGTCTGGATGGCATGTGCGCGTTCGGATGGTACTCAAGAGACGTGTAGGGACGTTATTGAACTACTGGATAACCTAGGCCTCGGAGCAGGAGCGATCGACAGTTCAACACGGGAAAGAATGATGTAACTATCATGGAGAATAATGATACAGTGGTACATGGGGTATATGCGTGCAAAATTACACTTGAATTAACCCACACGACGCCGGTTCTAGAAAGTGTAAGTCATGTAATGTACCGGAAACCCTTGGGACCCCCCTGCTCTCACTCGCACTCCTCGGCCCTCCTGTTCAGCGTCTCGAGGTGCCTCTTGAACACGAAGCACATGACGATCGCGAGCCCATTCGTCGCGATGCATATTGCATACGACGAGCGGTAACTCGGGCCCCACGCACTCGGCCAGACATACGAGCCCGCGACGTTGCCGAGCTGCGAGAACGCGTTGACCAGCGCGAGCGCGACGGCCCGCTTGCCCGGTGGCCGCGGCACGCTGTTCGCGACCCACGCCAGGAACACGATGAACGCCGCGTACGCCTGCGCCAGCAGGAACAGCGCCACGTACCGCGCACCCGTGTCCATCGTCGCCGTCGCCAGCACGTACCCGACGAGCCCGCCTGCGAGCGGGAGCGCGACGTGCCAGAACCGCTCGCCGGTCGCGTCCGAGTGCCGTGCGGCGTCGAAGGCGTCGAGCGTCGCGAGCGCCCACGGCGGCGCGCATAGCAGCAGCGTCACCGTCGTGCTGTAGCCCATCATGGCGGCAAGTGTCGGGAAGAACGCATTCTGTGGTCAAACGTTCCAGTGTCGCTGTGAGACCGCGCGAGAGAGACGGAGGCGTACGAAGGATAGGAAGATGACATGCTGGTCAGTGTGAGTGCAAGCCACCACACCTTCCAATCGGTGATTGCCTGCAGGAGGCCGTGCAGCGGGCCGCCGGTCTCAGTCTCGGCCTCGTCGCCGACACCGACGTCTTCCAGCATGCGGCGCTCGGCGAGCTTGACCTCGAGCGGCGAGAGCCAGCGATGAGACGTCGTGGGGAAGTCTGGCAGAATGAAGATCGCGCAGATGGCGGCGAAGATCGTGAGCGCGCCCTCGATGTAGAACAGCCAACGCCAGGCGGCATGCCCGAGCTTGCCCTGCATGCCATCGAGGATGCCGGACGCGATGAGCGACCCGAACGCGTTGCTGATCAGGCTGCCACACGAGAGCAGTGTCGTGCGCATCCCGACCTCCTTGCGTGTGTACCACTTGAACAGCAGGAAGAGCGCGCTGGGAAAGAAAGCTGCTTCGACGAAGCCCGGGAAAAACCGCGTGAGCAGCGCGCCGACGAAGTTGGTCGTAACACCTGTGAGGCAGGAGATGGTGCCCCAGATCACCATGCAGCACGGGAGGTAAATGGACGGTCGACCAGTGTAGTTGAGCAGCATATTTCTGTAAAACAATCAGAAATTGCTTGAATATTACTGCAGCTGTTGTAACTCACGAGGGAATCTACGTGAGAATGTAACCGACATAGAGAATGCTCAGAATCGTCGCGAACTGCTGCCCTTTGAGATGCAAATCCGCCTCGAATCCACGCAGACGTGCAGCGCTGGCATTGTTCCAGTCACTTTAGGGCCCATGATGAGCTCAGGCACTTGAACACTAAGCAGAGGGTCCACGTACGTAGTTGAGAATATAGATGACGACCAGGATGGTCATCCGCATGTCAAGTTTACGAAGCAGCTTGCGCTCCAGCTTCTTGCGCTCTTCGGTGCCGCCAAACTCTTCGTTTCCAGTAGCGATCTCCTTGGAGAACCCAAACTCTGCCTCCTCCTTGGAAGCGATAGATGGGGAGTGTTCGAGGGACATCTCTCTCTGGGGAACGAGGACGAGAGGGCAGGCATGCATGCACGTCCGAGAGGCGGTTCTCCCTGCACACGTCAGAGCTATGTAGGCCGCGTCGAGCCCATGGCGAAAGACGCGTATTTCTCCAAGCCCGTGCCAAAGTAGCGAGGTTCGGATAGATACAAGTGCTTGATTGAACGTTCTAGGGCGTCATGGGCGGATCCTGCGACGGACAGAGCGTCCGAAAGGCCAGTGAGTTCCTCGCGTGCCAAGAGATGGCCCTCGCGAACTTGGGGTCGGGATAACAGGGAGATCTTTCCAGAGCTCTGCACGCGATCCGCGGACGCTGTTATCTGTGGAGTAAGCTTTAGATTCGGGGGGATTGGCATGCGGGGTGTGGGGGTGGAGGTGAAAGCGGGGGTGGCGTGGAAGCAATCGCGTTGAATGCCCATCGCGGGCCCTGTCCTTTAGATGATGCCTCCGGGAGGCGGGGCAGCTGATTGAACATGCGGCCCGAGCGGTCCTCCACCTGATCGGCCAATCACTCGAGCGCGCCTCTTACGCTTGGCGCTCGCCGCTTTGAAACTTTCCTGCTTGCTCTGCTCTCGAGTCAACGTCCCCGGGAGACACCAGAGGTCCCATACAGCCTACTCTTAATTTATTAGCTTGTTACTATACGGAAATGGCTCCTTCTGCGCTCATCCTTCCTCCTGTGACACCTCAAGACTATCACAGGATCATTTCACCATCGCTGAACATTCCCAGCGACCCACAGACATCCATTCCCGTCGGTCTCTTGGCATGCCAACGTACGTACACCATCCATCTCGTACTGGCGTGTGCTAATGTCTCCGTAGGCGATTCACTCCTTCGAGAATTGGCCACCACAGTGGTCAGCTCTCGTCCTGCTGAAGCACCTCCGCAGCCCAAGCGTGCGAAGAAGGACAAGTCCAGCACACCACCAACACCAGCAAGCCCTCTCCTCGAGGTCTTGCTGCACGATACCGTCCTCTTTCCAGAAGGTGGTGGGCAGCCCTCCGACATTGGTGTCTTGACGAGTGCGGGAGAACACATGGGAAGTCGCGGAAGTGAAGCGCGCCGGAGGACACGCTGTGCACTACGTCAAGGTCGGTGAGAAGAGTATCGAAGGCGCGCTGCACGCCTTCACAGTCGGCAGAGAAGTAGGTGTGCGGCTGGGAGAGGCCGGTCTGCAGCGGAGGCTAGACCACGTAAGTCACTCGTGCGTTATCTCCTACGTCTCGGTATCGTCTCATGGACCATCCAACAGATATCCATGTGCACGTCTCAGCATCTCCTGGTAAACTTACTTGTGGATGCTACGTCGAATGTCACGATAGCCCGCCCATGTGCAGCCCGTTGGCGTCGCCAGGATGGACCCTATTCAATACGTACGATGGTTCTCGATGGTCAAGTAATCGAAAACTGACAAAATGCATGCGCAGCAAAAGGACGTTGTTGCTATGATCTACAACCACGCATCTCAGGAGGATTCGCCGCACTAGGCTTCGAGTTTCGACTCGTTCCGGAAGGCCTATGAGCGGCGTCAGACAGCGTACGAGGAGCAAAGATGAGCAGGCTGAAGCTCAAGGACGGCAGGATCTTGTGCAACGCTGTGTGTTACCGTCGCGCTGAAGAGCGAAATCACGAAAGAGCGCGTGGGCGGCCGACCTCTGCGGCGCATTTTGCAATGCGACACTGAATTTCGTACGTCTATGTGGCTCGCAGAGCAGCTTTCATTTCCGAATGAGATTGCAGAGCTAACGAGGCACAGCAGATTGTCTGCGAAGACGCAAGCCAAGAAGGGCGACTCACACTCCCATTAATATTGCCCTATTGCCCTCATGGTTACACTCTGGCTTCGCCCCTGTCCCATCTCTCCAGAAGCACCAACTTGGACTCGGACAAGTCGTTCAAGCTGGCCGAAATTCACGCTTCGCCGTCACCACGTACCGTCTCGATCGACTGTTTAGTCGACAAGCATCACGGTAACGACAACCTAGTCCAGATGTGCTCGATAACCCCGCACGGCGCGAACGATGTGGAGCGCATGGGTGTTCTTTCAGAGTGGTTTGCATTAAGACGTATGTGCTCTCTCTATCTGTGGGCATTACTGCCTCGCACTCAATTCATGTCGCAGCGGCGAGTGCGTCACGAGTTCAGTCCGTACTCTGCCCGCTCGACAAACCGAGCAGACACCTGCGTTACGAGACTCTCAGGCTGGCCAAGTTCCTTTTCCTGCGCGTCTACCGCCAGGGCTAGGAGTGCGACGAGTGAGCGACCGAGGCCCGCAACACGAACACGCCGCTACTTTTCCTAGGCCCCCTTCATCGTGGGCTCGGACGACCTGAAGCTCAGGCAGGGCCGCAAATCTGCGCGGGCCTGTGATGTCCGCTACGACATCGTCTTCTCTAGGATGAGCACCACCACGCCCAGGCCTGCGGGTGTGACAATGACGACAATATCTCTCACGCTCTCTGGTCGCAGGTCCATGCCTTCTCCACTCTATGAAGATGGCATCCAGTCGTCTCCATCAGTTTTAACGGTCGCTTTATCGAGCCCGTAACATGATGACGCCTCCTCAATGCTGATCCCCATCTACGTCTACCACCTAAACGTCTCTCGCCCCCCCCTCTCCCATGATAAGGCATCTTCGCCAGCCGGCACGAGTCCCCTGGCTTTACGCTTCAGCCGCAGCGGTGCTGAGCTGTCGTGCACAGTCAACGACGAATGACGTAGAGGCAGACGAGGAGACCGCCGAGGTGCCTGGCCAGTACGGTGTGAGTGCTAAGCACAGCAGAAGCACCGGAAGACCTCACAATGTCGAACGGTCTACTACCAACGCTCATTTCTACTGCGATCGTCGCGGCACGGAGGGAAGATGGCGGAAATAGTTCTCGCTCCCCACGGCCGCGCCTCGCACTACACCGGTGACGACGAAGTCGAACGCTATCGACGAGGGCAGAAACAAATGCTGGTCACTCGTGGTCAGAAACCTGAAGACGAACGGCAACGACTCCGCGCGGGGCGTCGCTTCACGATTGCGGCGGTAACACTTTGGCTTTGGCCGCGGCCGTTCGCCCTGTCTGTTGATTTGGTAGGCGCCTACCATTTCTTTGACAGCTGCGCTACTACTTTCGCCGGCTTCATAGATCTGATGGGCCTATACCACGACATCCATGTAGTGCTACTCATTCGCATATTGTATAGTGATGATAAAATTGACTTAGAGAAGATACGTCCCTGTACTAGTTTCATCTGTGCGCGACGGCGTCCAGCGTCCTAAGTACACTATTACGCGCGATTACTGTACAAGCTCTCCAGATAGCCATTCAATCCTGAGAGATTCAGTTTATACTCGCTCCAGAACACTACATTGTGCCCAGAGTATCCCGCGAAGACCCGCCAGTGCCAGTCTAGCGGAACCCACCACAGCCGGGTCCGGTGAGACGGCGCCAAACAGAATATCCAGTCGTCCTCAGTGTAATATATAGGCCAGGTCCTATGCGGAAGTCAAGCGAGCGCTGTCGTCATCTGCGTGTCCGCTTCGACAGGGATCCATGGCTGAAAAAGTCGGTTGTCGTCGCCAATTAGGATTCTGGAGCCATCGGGGGACAGGTGCAAGGCGCAGGGTCCTAATTGTCCCAAATTACATTTCGGGCTTGAGACGTTTCGTCCCTCTTCTGAGTACCTTGTAAGCAGAACGAAATCCTTTAAACGCCTTCTAAGGGCCTTTTAAGGCCCTTGTAAGTACCTTAGAATCTGACTTCTAGGCTATCTCAAGATCAGCGCCTTTCAAGGTCAATTTGTAATTTGGGACATAGGCATAGTCGAGGACGAGGAGACATGCGCCGGATTTGGGTGTCCCAGAGTCGCATGATACAGTCTTCTGAGGAACGAATGAGGACGGTCCCAGCAGGTATAAATGCGACCGACCATACTAACTTGGCGTGCCCTTGGTTAACCTGGAGCAGCTCCCCTCCTTCTGCACTCCACGCCAGAATGCGACCATTAGAATCTCCAGACGCAACAGTTTCTCCGCTCGGAGAGAAGGCGACGGAGCGAACCCGGTACTCGTGTCCCCTATACATCGCCAGAGATGTCCCGGTGGCGACATCCCAAATGATGGCAGCCCTATCATAGGAGCCCGTAGCCACGCGTCTGCCGTCCTGCGAGAAGGCGATGGAGCTGACAGCGCCATTGTGTCCGATAAACTTGCGAGCCAGCTTGTTTGTCGCAATATCCCCAGAGACAGGCGGGATACTCTCGAGAGTCCCTGTCTGGCTAGACGAAAGTCGAGCATGGTCGAGACTATTTCATGCACAGCCGGGAGCACAAGAGGGCGGTGGTTCGACTTGAAGCTAGCGCTCGTGGACTGAACCCAGCCGAGGAGCAAATTGGTGGTCGCGAGAGCGTCGGCAAGACGGGAGAGTCTCATGAAGCGGGCCAAGAACACTGGCGACACGTCATTCCTTGGGCTTCTCTTGTGTGCCAACGTTCCATGACCATCGCGCCACGTCGATAGACCGAGTAGTCCCCCATTTGGCCTTGCACGAAATGCGCAGCTTGTTGAACGGGGCCAGTACCGTGGCACCGATGTACGCGCCACAAGGCCTTGAGCGAGACTTTCTCCGTCGATGGCGAGCATTGATCTGGTTGACTGTGCGGCAAGGGTTGGGCTGCATCGCTTTCAGAGTGGTTCTGGTCCAAGTACGTCAGGACTGCATGCATATTGGACAATAACGAATCACTCACCGTCGAAGCTGTTCGCAGATCACTTTCGCGAACTATGTCCGCGGATACCGAAGGTAGCATCCCTGCTGTCCGGCGATGATTTTATTGGCTTGTCCTCGCCTTCCTGAGACAACAGACGCTGGGTACGCGAGCGATGTTTTGGTGATTAGGGAATGGTGGGTGAGTCGATGGTATTTCGGGCAATCGGGGGCTGCTTCAGGCACAGGTTTTGTACTTTTGTCTTCGAAAACTGCCGCTGTTCGGTTATAAGCGGCTGGCGAGGTGCATACTTCACGTTCATGTCATGACGATCGTGCTCGGTCGGAGCGCGCAACCCAGCATATCGAACTCCTGGTGACGCGTGGTAGGCGGGGTTAGCGACGCTGAGCATAAACGCGACATGTGTCACGAGCCCACGCACACAATTTCGAAACTAGGCTTCATGGGCCGTGGCGGGCACGACATTCAAGCAGCAACGGCGCGGCGCCGTATGGCAGAAGAAAGGCTACAAACCAAATCAGCATTATGCATAGCGGCTCATAACGCGGAAACTTACACTTATTGATGAAAGCCCTCGGCTCAGGCACCCGTATCCACTCCGAGTGCTCGCGTTCGAGCCGGGCATAATCTTGTCGACCTCGGCATGGAGCCGCCGGAAGACATCCCTGCGGCAGCGGAGGGCCCAGAGCGCGTGCGAGAGCGGCGACGAAGAAGTGTTGACGCAGAGATCCTGTGTAGAGGGTCGTTCATGTTATGCAGGCTCTAAGGTACCGCCCACAGCATATACTCGCAGGTGACTAGTGACCGGTTGACCCATGGGCCGCTAACACAAGTCTTCACCGACGCGACGACACCGTTGTGATTCTTGTTGCACGTAGGCGTCTTCGTGGGTCGATAAAAGACGCGTGGCTCCTTTGTCCCTGCACCGAAACGCGACCTGGAGTGGACTGTCAAGCCGTTGGACTCGTTTGCCATGCCGGATGGGATGCCACAGTAATCCTTCAGTTCATAATGTCATTCGCATGGTTGTGCTGGTGATTGGATCGGAAAAACAAAGACGGCCAGGTACAAAACATGTCATCGAGTAGATAGTTCATTCACGGAGAACAGGAATATATAAATGGGGTGGACGCGGTCAGGCCCAATCCGTCCAAGCTCGGAGCGCCGACGCCGCCCGACACCATAAGTAAAGCGCCGACGTTCGTCCACATTCCATCATGAGTCGACTTCTGCTCCACAGCAATTCGCCAAACACAGTCTCTCCTTGACATGCCGCGACCCAAACTATATCCTACGCCTGGTCCAGCCTCCCCTTCTCCTTCGCGTGAGCCACAAACATCTCGACGATTCGACAGACCTTCACGCTCCCAGAGTTCCAGGACCGCCGTCGTGTCCCGATTGCAAACATAATGTATTCGCTTTTATACCTCTCCGAGAATCTTTCCGCTGATTCGATGACTATGCAGTCCCTTGTCGTATTGTAGCGGTCGGGCGGATTCGTCGTAGCTCATATCTCGGCACGAACCAGGAGGGAGATTGTTGGTTAGAAGACTACTGTGAGACTCAGAGGTGCGCTCCCACGTTCACACTTAGCCAACTGCCATCTGAGAACCCAGCAGAACGATGTCCGGATGTGGGGACTTCACGTGCGCCACGACATTCTGCAACACGGTGCTCAAAGTTACGGCGACGCGGGCAATTGACAAAGTCCACCCACGCCCGTACTTCGTGCTCTCACGAATTTCCTGAACATGGCTCTCTACAGCACCAGGTCTAGAAACTCTCCACACGCATGTCCAATCTTCTCGTGCGCCCTGGTCAAGATGACGAACGAGGCCGAGCGAGGCAGTCAAGATGGACTTCTCTAGATCGATGTTAGCCGTTGGTGAAGGGGCTGAAGACGTACTGCGCAGGCGCGACACGACAGGTGCATTCATCGCTCCCTGCTCAACTATATCTCTGGAAGATTAGCCTCGCTAAGTCTCACCGCACTTAGGAAGGGCTACGATGGGCGTGGGAGGGCACACGACGAGAAGGGTACGGCGAGGCTCGAGGGCTAGAAGACCTCATGCGATGCCATGCGCAACATACAAGTGCCTCGACGAGTAACATCACGAAGCGGTGCGCCGCCAGTACGATCTGCAGCTGAGATCAGCGTGATGCAGCAAGGTGTACCAGAGGGTAGTGAGTTCGTCTAGTTCTCAAGAACACTGCGTGTTTCTTACAAGCATTAGGACAGATTCAAACTTGGTAAAATCTGCAGCAAAAGTCAAGAGTTCTCCGCGCTCCTGTCGTCTGATTACACCCACGACCAAATCCCTACGCCGCTCTTGCCCGAGCCTCTGGAAGGTGTCAACTTAAATCCACAATCGAACCCCGACTTCGATCTTTTCTGGTCTCCTCTGCGTCCACCATGAGTCGACCTCCATTCCGTAGCACATACTCATATGCAAACCGATTCTTGGGAAAATAACTGCCTACGTTGAGTCCAAATTGTCCGAATCGTCTGTGGTACCCCGTACGCAATCCCAAGTGAGTCCAGTCATTGTTCGACTGGTCCTTCGCTCATAAATCTTTGTAGATACAGACTCGTTTCATGCGCTGTAACATGCCTATACTCAAACCCTCGCCATGCCGACTATCCAACGGAACATCTCGATCTTTCTTTCCCACTCATCACTCCAGATCGCGCATTCCTCAGGCGCGGCCCTCTCCTTCATGCCGTGTGATCTGTACAGCCAGAAAGCGAACCTTCATTGTCGTCAGGCTGTCTCATTTGTCTATTCAGAGTGGACAAGACCGAAGATCGACGACCACGACAGCATCAACGAGACGGTTGTCGAATGTCGATGTCGCCGAGAAGTCGCCAGAGCAGGCGTGCAAGAAACACGTCGAGTTGGCTGACTCCGAAGCCTTGCTCGGTTCACGAGCAAGCCGAATGAACACCTACGCCTCGGGATTCCCAGTCTTCGCTAAGTCTCTCGCGTTTATGCCTGCAGCCAGGAAGAGAGCGATAAGTGGGCGACGGTAATCTGCAACACCAAGGCGCCACCGTTGATGTCTTTCGACACCGTGCGCCTGAACTCCGAGTCGGCGCTGATCGTCGTCGATCTTGGCGAACCGCCTTCAAGACGCGCGATCCGCTGTACCTATCAAGCGAGAAGCTCACGCGAAGCATGGCCAGCGAAATTGGAGCACTTCGCGTCGGCTACTTGAATGTCGAACAGCGAGATGAAGCGTTGCGTGTGGTGCGGCGAACACCTGGCTGGCAGAGGTGGTGGCGCTCTTGCGGATTTGGAGGGTGGTACACCTGTCGCGGCTGGCTCTGGTCGGCTGGGTATGTGACGCCTCGGGTTTAGCTGCAGTTGCGCGCAGACGTTGTACTGCGTGGCTTTGCTAGCATCTACTACCTATCGTGTCTATTATGCCTGCGTAGTGACTTTCGCTACCGTCGTGGACCGGGATGAATCAATAACTCGAGCTAGTATTGCTGTATGGGGTGCTCGTTACACAATTCGCTCAAACCAGCTGTGCTGTAAGTGTGCTTCGTTCGTCCGCAAGGGGAGCATGTGTCGCTGGCTTCCACCATGTCTCGCTCACTGGTATTGTCAACCCGTCTGCTACGCGATGTTATGGAATAGAGATGATATGAATATAGCCAATACTTTAGATATGGCACTACTATGTGCGATCAGTGCGCGGGCTCTCGGGGTAGCTGCTCAATCCTGGAAAATTAAGCTGAGCACCCTGCCTTTTAAACAGAACATTCTGCCTGTCATACCCCGCCAAGCCCCGCCAGTCCACCGGTAGCCAGCACATTCGCGTTCGTCGCGTCGGCATCATCGAGAAGAGCCAGCCGTCGTCGATGTAGTACACGGGCCAGGTCCGACGCGGGAGCCAAGGAAGCGATGTCGTCGCCTGCGCGTCTACATCGAGAGGTGCCCATAGCTGAACGAGTCGATCGTCGTCGCCAACTAGGATGCCGGAGCCGTCAGGGGACAGTCGCACAGTGCTGCCCCAGGTATCTGGGTTGAGGACGAGGAGACAAGCGCCCGTGTTGACGTCCCAGAGTCGCATGGTGTTGTCGTTCGAGGAGGAAATGACGACGTCCCCATTGGGAGTAAAGGCGACCGACGTTACCAAGCTCGTGTGCCCCTCGAACGACTGAAGCAACTCCCCTCCCTCTGCACTCCACGTGAGAATGCAATGATCATGACCTCCCGACACGACGCGCTCTCCATTCGGAGAGAAGGCGACTGAGTGTACCCAAACGCCATGTCTGCTACACGTCGCAACACGCGCTCCGGTGGCGACCTCCCAAATCATCACAGTCCTATCGAGGGAGCCTGTTGCGATGCGTCTGCCGTCGAGGGAGAAGGCGACGGAGAGAACATCGTGACTGTGTCCGACAAACTCGCGGATGAGTTTTCCCGTCGCGACATCCCAGAGACAAGCAGTGTGCTTTCCAGAGTTACTGGCTGTGGAGATGGTCCCTGTGAGCAGATATCGGCTGTCTGGCGAGAACATGATCGGCGACGACTGGCCACCGAAGCAGTGCGACATGTAGCTCAACACGCCGCTCCACATGAGCGTGCTCTGAATAGAAATGGCCCAGTGCATAATGTACACCACACGTTTCCATCGGACCTGCAGTGACCCAGAAGCAGCATCCCACAGTGTCACCTCGCCATTTTTCCCTTCTGACGCTGTAAGAATCACCGCATCGTCTGGTGAGAACGCCGCGTAGTGGGTGCATTCTGAGGGTAAGGACAGAGGCTTGTATGCCCAGTCCCATCTATCGGTCTTGTACACTTCGGTCGAATTATTGTCGCGCGTCAGCAGCGCACGACTTCCGTTCTGAGAGAAAACGGTCAAGCGACAATCCACTGGCTCCTTGCTAGACGGTGTGGATGACCTGACAGTGTTCCTGTGCCGCGGCATGTTGACTGCGTCCTGCGTCGCGTTCCACAGTCGGACGGTGCCATCGTACGAGCAAGACGCGATGCGAGTCCCATCTCGGTTATAGGTGACACAGGTGACATCGTCGGTGTGACCGGCGAACGATTGTCGAGTCTCGCCATGAGCAAGGTCTAAGACGACGACAGATTCCCCCGATCCATATGCAAACTTGTCTCCGGCTGGGAAAAAGCTGGGACTGCGGATGGACGGGGATGGCTGGCCCGATGGCCGGAGGTTATAGAGGCGCTCGGCGATCTTTACATCCCAGACGGACACCTTCCCTGCCCCCTTTGAGGCAGTCAGAACTTTGGAGCTGTCTGGTGTGAAGGCGACGGAATAGAATAAGTTCTCGCGTTTCCGCTTCAGCAAGACGCGATGAATGTACGGCGCTTCCATGCTCCACAGGCAGACTAAGTCATGTGCACCCGACGCCATCCAAAGGCCATCCGGAGACACGGCAACGGATCCGATCGAGTCTTGGTGTTCGGTCAAAGTTGCCACACACGATCCTGTCTCAGCATCCCAGATCTTGATGAAATGGTCGCAGGAGCCAGACACGATGCGCCTGCCGTCGGGCGTGAAGACTGCGCACCAGACCCCATCCGTGTGCCCTTCGAGGGTGCGGAGAAGCACGCCGGACACAGCGTCCCAGATCTTGACTATGCGGTCACCGGTAGCGGAGGCAATGCGAGCACCGTCTGGAGAATACCTGACAGAGAAAACGTAGCCGGAATGATGGGAGAAGACGAGAACCAGGGCGCACGTAAGCGCGTCCCAAATCCGTATCTTGCCGTCCTCGCCCGAAGAGACGATCGTCCTGCCATCAGGGGCAAAGTCGATGGCCCGGACCCGTGCGCCTTCGTGTGCGGTGACTGTGCCCAAGCAAGCGTCCCACGAGTCTGCCACGCCCCCAACAACTTTGACCGAGCTCTCCGCGAGACATTCGTGTGCGTAGATCTGCCCAAGCGTCGTGTCCTTTGGAACGAGTGACAGGATCAAGTAGTACAACTGCAGTGCTGAACCACTGATTGCAGGAAAGTAGCCAACAATCAGCCGCTCGCAGTCGTTCAACAGGAGCACAGTCCTCCTGGCTCGCCCATCATCCACGTCCTACTTGACAGTTTAGACACTGCAGCACTTGGAAATCCCGAGAGTTGATCGCACTCACCCTAAGCTTCCGCTGCGACTCACTCAGCCCAGAGATTGCATCTCTGAGAACTCCAAGTAGGCTGCATGCCTCGACCCAGTGCACCAGGTCCTTCTGCGAAAATTCCAACAGCCCATCCAGGATCTCGTCCGAGACCTCGCCGCCCACCAAATGAGTGTACCAGTGCCGACTCGAGTATCTCAAGTGTGGCGGGATCGCCCTCTCCACACGCATAGCTAGGTCATAGATCTCAACGTTGAGCACAGACGGGTCCCGGATGTCACAAATGTCTCGCTTGAGCTCTTTCAGCGCCCCTAGGCATCCACGGAGCAGCAGTGTGTGCTGCGCCCGCGAATTGATGACGAATGACCGGCTCGTGCAGCGATCCGAGTCGAGCAGGAATTCAGCAAAGGTTGGATGGATGATGCGGATGTTGGACTCAGAGGATGGCACCACGAGGACGGAGTGCAGTCCTAGAAGGGACGTGTATGCCGTGTCAGAAGTGAGCCCTGTTAGACTCGCGAGGCTTGCAATGGGGAGAGGATCTTGGGCCACGACGATCGAGCCGAGCACTGACTTGATACGTCCCGACAGGCCCCTCGAGATCTCAGGAAATGCGGTGTCGAGCACCTGCAGATACAGCCAATCGAGCAGCCGATGAGATCCGAGGGGAATCACAGGGGACGTAAGCATCTTGAGCCGTCCCACGGGGTCGTTGTAGTTCCGGTCTCCGATGAACTTGACCGCGGTCGCAGCAAATATGAACAGCCCATTGGCCATCTTGCTCAGCGTCTCGATGTCCGCCTTCTCAGGCCACGACTCTGGCAGATTGAATCGCCTTCTAATATCAGATAGGGTTGCGGTAAAGTAGCGAGTGATGTCCACGGTGACAAGCGGTAATGAGATCTCATGCAGAACCAGCTTCCCAAACGCATTGCGATAGTCGGGAGTGTCGAAGCTGCCGACAATGTGCTGCTCGGGGCGACTAGTGATGAAGAATCGGAGGGGGGAGATATCTTCCGCGTGCTTCAGGAGAGTAGACAGCACCGCAGACGTAACTTGGGAGTCTCGACATTCGTCGAGCGCATCGATTACTACGACGCATGGTGGAAAGCTATCGCGGAGCTGGGTCAGCGGCTGCAATATCAGCTCCTCGAATTGGCGGGTGACGCTGGAGTATACAATCAGAGGGTCCTTCTGGAGTACCTGTGCGACCAGGTCCTTGTGAGGCCGGTGGAACAGTCCGAGCTGGTACGCGATTGTCGTGAATATCATCAAGGGATTGCTGCAGTCGGTATCGGACCGAGAGCAGAAGAAGCTTGCGCCAAGAATGCCTTGTTCTTGACATCGCTCTGCGATGGTGTACGCAATCGTCGTCTTGCCTGAGCCGGCCTGGCCGTTCAGCCATGAAATATCGGGCTCATCGTGACTGGAGTCTGGAGCAGGACCGGGGTTGTTACTAGGCGTGTGCTGGCTTGATGCCCAGGTGGAGATTCTGTCCAAGATGTCGGTACGCGTCTCTTCCAGACAGGCTGCACGTTCCGGGCCACAGTCGAATCGCGCCGACACCGCGTACAGTGGTACCGATGTACCTGGACTGTAGTGATTAAAACAGCATACACCGTGCACCATAGTCACACGTACCGTCTGGGCGGGGAAGCAATTGGGGGCGCTGGTAGGCGCAACAATTGATCAGTGAATCGTGTATTCGCTGGGGGATACTTACCCGACCATCGTCCTGTATGGAATCCAGCTTCTTCTCGACTCGCTGTGCGTTCTCTTTGAGTATACGCGCTTGATCCTGTTCGTCTGTAGTTGGTGCAAGAGTAGACAATTGAAGACTATCTATCACGTACATCCAGAGCGAACTCGATTGCCAACATGCCTTCCACCTGAAGTTGGAAATTAGCTGCATCAGCAGATGAGAGCGCAAGCCAGAGCACGGACAGTTCTTACCATGAAGCTCTGAATCGACCACGACAACCTCTGTACGAAACTAGTGATCTTCTTTGCCTCTTCGTCCGCATTCCATATCCTCAGCAGCTTACTCTGCGACTTGAGTTCAACGGCATCGTCATTCGTCGCCTTCCATGAACTGTACGACGTGAGCAGCTCGAATAGGCGGTACGAACACGAAACTCACGACAGTAGTCGGTTGACTCTGGCCTGCATCGGGGGCGATATACTCGATCCATGCAGCTCCGCACAATTCTTCACCATTTTGGTCAAATCTTCGACCTTCCTCGTGAGTTTATCGATGTCTTCACTATTCCCATGCGATTTCTGGCCCCAGCTTGAGCGCCTCTGTCCAGCGAGGCCGTGCATGACACGCACCTGGATCATCGCCAACACCGCCGACAGACCACTAACACCAGTCTGCAGACCCGGCACGCCGAGATTGCCTGCTACTTGGTTGAATGCATCGAGGGCGCGTTGAAGACTGTCCATGGCGGTATATGCAGCATCTTTTTTGTCGATGCCTCGTAGCTTCTGCTTGAACCTGTGTGCGGTTCCTTTCATAGGTGGAGATGGAGGTGGCAGAGGTCGAAGAGAGGCCTCGAAATTTTCAGTCCGCCTGTGAAGATGGGCGAATAACCACAAGTTTGCCACGCCCTCACCGCGCTCTGCCGCTCTTGCCAGGAAGGTTTGATGAAAGAGAGTTGCCGCAGGGAGCAATGAAGGTGAGATATTTGAGTCTCGGTCGTGTCACAGGGAGATACGACAGTGATCGCTACACTGGTATATACCTCGCAAGTTGGCTTGTGAAGATCGCGCAACTTGTGGCGTGTGGCGAGGGCCCGGGGCCGTGAGTCGTGAGTCGGCATCAAGTTCTGGTCCGCTGCCGGGATGGCGTGGAAGCAAAGCCATGGTTGTGCTCGTGTATTCCGAGCACAGACAGCTATGATTTCGTAGCATCACATAGGACATACTTTGGTTGTAGCTGTATGACTGGGACCGGAAGTGGTTGAGATTGATATTGTCCGATGCGCGTAAGCGTTGGCGCCACAACGGGAGCTTTCCCGATTTGACTCTACTAGCTGACTCGGACTTCGTACTACACGCTGGATGAAGTTGTCCATGCCGGGCGTGCAGCATCTACCGTAGTAGGCCGTCAAAGCGCATGCATATGTTTGGCACAGGTCTGCCGCGACACAGATTATGAAGGGGTCCGAGTCGGCAGTGCTAGTAAGAAAAGATGCTGGTTTAGTGGTTCGCCTCGTCGAGCCGTCTGGATGATACGTGTGCATGATGGTACTCAAGAGACATGTAGGACGTTATTGAACTACCGGCTGACCTAGGCCTCGGAGTAGGAGCAATTGTCAGTTCAACACGGGAAAGAATGATGTAACTATCATGGAGAATAATGGTACAGCGGTACATGCGGGTATATGCGTGCAAATTACATTTGAATTAGCCCACACGACGCCGGTTCTAGAAAGCGCAAGTCATGTAATGTACCGGAAACCCTTGGGACCCCCCTGCTCGCGCTCGCGCTCCTCGGCCCTCCTGTTCAGCGTCTCGAGGTGCCTCTTGAACACAAAGCACATGACAATCGCGAGCCCGTTCGTCGCGATGCATATCGCATACGACGAGCGGTAACTCGGGCCCCACGCACTCGGCCAGACATACGAGCCCGCGACGTTGCCGAGCTGCGAGAACGCGTTGACCAGCGCGAGCGCGACGGCCCGCTTGCCCGGCGGCCGCGGCACGCTGTTCGCGACCCACGCCAGGAACACGATGAACGCCGCGTACGCCTGCGCCAGCAGGAACAGCGCCACGTACCGCGCAGCCGTGTGCATCGTCGCCGTCGCCAGCACGCATCCGACGAGCCCGCCTGCGAGCGGGAGTGCGACGTGCCAGAACCGCTCGCCGGTCGCGTCGGAGTGCCGTGCGACGCCGAAGGCGACGAGCGTCGCGAATGCCCATGGTGGCGCGCACAGCAGCAGCGTCACCGTCGTGCTGTAGCCCATCGTGGCGGCGAGTGTCGGGAAGAAGGCATTCTGCGGTCAAACGTGTCAGCGTTGACGTGAGACCACGCGAGAGAGACGAAGGCGTACGAAGGACAGGAAGATGACCATGCTGGTCAGTGTGAGCGCAAGCCACCACACCTTCCAATCGGTGATTGCCTGCATGAGGCCGTGCAGCGGGCCGCCGGTCTCAGTCTCGGCCTCGTCGCCGACACCGACGTCTTCCAGCATGCGGCGCTCGGCGAGCTTGACCTCGAGCGGCGAGAGCCAGCGATGGGACGTCGTGGGGAAGTCTGGAAGAATGAAGATCGCACAGATGGCGGCGAAGATCGTGAGCGCGCCCTCGATGTAGAACAGCCAACGCCAGGCGGCATGCCCGAGCTTGCCTTGCATGCCATCGAGGATGCCGGACGCGATGAGCGACCCGAACGCGTTGCTGATCAGGCTGCCACACGAGAGCAGCGCCGTACGCATCCCGAGCTCGTTGCGCGTGTACCACTTGGACAGGAGGAACAACGCGCCGGGGAAGAAGGCGGCTTCGACGAAACCCAGGAAAAACCGCGTGAGCAACGCGCCGACGAAATTGGTCGTCACACCCGTGAGGCAGGAGATGGTGCCCCAGATCATCATGCAGCACGGGAGGTAAATGGACGGTCGACCGGTGTAGTTGAGCAACATATTTCTGTAAAGCGATCAGAAAATCTCGAATAGTCGCTGTATATCGGTCGTAACTTACGAGGGAATCTGCATGAGAATGTAGCCGACGTAGAGAATGCTCAGAATCGTTGCAAATTGTTGCCCTTTGAGATGCAAATCCGCCTCAAATCCACGCAGACGTGCAGCGCTGGCATTATTACGGTCAATCTGCGAACAAGTGATGAGTTTAGGTACTCGAACGCTGTACGGAGGATCTGCGTACGTAATTGAGAATGTAGATAACGACCAGGATAGACATTCGCATGTCAAGCTTGCGAAGCAGCTTGCGCTCCAACTTCTTGCGCTCTTCGGTGCCGCCAAACTCTTCGTCTCCAAGCGCAACCTCCTTGGAGAATCCGAACTCTGCCTCCTCCTTGGAAGCGATCGATGGGGAGCGTTCGAGGGACATCTCTCTGGGGAACGAGGACGAGAGGGCAGGCGTGCATGCACGTCCGAGAGGCGGTTCTCCCTGCGCACGTCAGAGTTATATAGGCCGCGTCGAGCCCATGGCAAAAGACACGGTATTTCTCCGAGCCCGTGCCAAGGTAGTGAGGTTCGGATAAATACAAGTGCTTAATTGAACGTTCTAGGGCGTTATGGGCGGATCCTGCGACGGACAGCGCGTCCGAAAGGCCAGTGAGGGGGAAGAAGAAGATTTCCTTGCGTGCCCATCAGAGACCTGCAGCGTGAGCACACTGCCAAGAGATGGCCCTCGCGAACTTGAGGTCGGGGTAACAGGGAGATCTTTCCAGATCTCTGCACGCGATCTGCGGACGCTGTTATCTGTGGGGTAAGCTTTGGATTCGGGGGGATTGGCGTGCGGTGTGTGGGCGGGGGTGAAAGCGGAGGTGGCGGGGAAGTAGTCGCATTGGATGCTCGTCGTGGGCCCCGTCCTTTATACAGATGATGCGGCGAAGAGGTGTGGGTGTCTGTAGGCGTGCTCAATTCTACATGGATGGGATGGGATGGGATGGTTTCGAGCCAGCACATGGTGGCTGTGGCTTTCCCGTTGATGGCATAGATTAGCCGTGAGACATGAATCAGAAATAGATCTGTTCCTAACCCGCCATCCCGCCCTCGAGTCCCGCCTGCTTCCAAAACAAGTAAGTCTATTTGTACGAAACAAATAGGGACCGTTCACAATGACTGTGAGGTAGAGGGGATAGTTCGCGCAACGCACTGTCCAGTATGCAATGGAGAGAGAGGAATCGGGGACAATATCACAGAGTGGTGCCTGGAAGAGGTTCCATAATGCCGACATATGCCTATAGACCATGACAGGCTGCGGGCACCGCGACAAGCACATCGCGCGAAGGGCTCGTGACGACAGCAGTGATTTCAAGAACCTCGAGTGTTGACCCCAATAACATTCAAGCCTTCATACGAAATCATGTAACTCTTCAGC